TCCCCGAAAATTTCTAAAAAATGTTAAATAATTTAACTTCGTTCAAAAAATTCAAAAAGTTAAATGATCTGTTATTTTATAGTATAAATATACAATTAGTTACAGTAAATAAAGCTTGTGGGCACAATAAAGTAAATATAAATAAATTATGTTGTGAAAATTTATCAATACTAAGTAATACAATATTATTGACAGTGCTGTCAATTATATAACAACAAATTTTAACAAAAAATGATCTTCCTAACCTCTGGAAAAAAGCATAGACTTATTATAGAACATGTCATAGCACCACAATGTAAAAAAATAACAAAATATTTGGATGTGTATATATTTAATTTGGATGTGTATATATTGTATATTACTATTTTACCTGACTTGAGCAATTGTCATCATTTCATTGAACTTGCTTAAGATTTGATAAAGCATCGTATCTTAAAATACACTGCAATTATAACCAAAAAAAATTTTTAATAATATTTTTTCGATATATACAGCCAGATAAAAAAATGCAGAACAATAAACACACACACAAACACAACAGATGATGAGGGCTCCAAAAAGGTTAACTGTATTCTTATGACATTAGATACTATTTTATTAGAAGATGTATTCAACATTTAACCTAACAAAAATTAAACAAAATCTACACTTAAACAACACTTAAACACAAAAACAACATTTAATAAAAATTAAACCAAATCATCCACTCTTGCTGCTGCTTTTGATAATTTCTTTAAGTCACCGAGTATTCTGAGCCACTACTTGAGAAGAATATTGTATCATTCTTTTTATAGCTAATATCATAAGCTAAATGATTTAAACGATGAAAGTTATAAATTAACAGATGATCAGAGTAGAACACTTTGGTATTGTTCTCAAAGGAACAAATAAATTAGTATATATGATTCAACATGGTTTAAAATTAAATTCTATATGAATGTATTCTTTTAAGGAACACAAGTAAGCCCTTTTTCCAGATAAAATGTATATCTTTAGTTCCCCCTTGAATTGCATTGAGAGGAAACTGCTGCACCATATCTACTTTAAGTGACTCTAAGACATTGATATGCATGTGATAATTTTTCAGATTTTTTCCTCCACTGTTTTAGCAGTAAGTACCAGTGGGCATAAAAATTCATTCAACCATTATAGGTTTTTTTGTCTTACAAGCTGATCTATAATCACCATTATAGCGATTAAATTAGAGCTTTAGATGGTGCATCACAAATTAAAATATTTTACCTTTTACTTGTATGACTTTTCCATTATTATCAATAATGTCATTTGCTATGGCTGGTCTTACATGAAGTATGAATGCAGGTATGAGGGGAGGAGGTTACCCAAAAACTTATGAATGCGTATGAGAGAGAAGGAGGGGGGAGGGTAAAGACAGCAATTATTATCAAAGTGTGACTAATTCTCAATCTCAATCTATTTGAAAACTTGTTTTTTTTTATTTACAAAAGCATCGAGTTTCATGAGTTTAAAAAATTATTATTCTGTTAAATAACAAAATTAATAATTCTGTGATGAGTGATTTCAAAACAACTAAAAAAATTTTGTTTTTAATGCTTTAAAAATATTATGTGCTGGAAAAGGGTTGAGGGAAAGAGGTTGATTTTGTAATAATACATTAGAATGCAGTGGGGGCATAAAAAGCATAGAGGTGTGTACAATGGGAAGGGGTTCCTTAAACTGTGGTTTTACTGCATACATACTTTATGGGTGTCCCCTAAGATTTCTTAACTCCCCGTAAAGTCCTTCAAGTGTTCTAAACTGACTTCAGTAATTGACAAAACAACACCACAACAAATGGAATGGTTTCACAAATATTGTCAACATGACACTAGATTGGCCAGAGAAACATATTTGCACTTTTATGGATTAGTAGTTAATGGTTAAAGACTAAGTCTATATTGTTGCTTAAATCTCAAAATACCATGGTTAATTTTTTTTATTTCCATCTTTTATTAAAATACATTCTTTCATCCTAAAATACGTATATTCACCAACTAAACCAATAAAGTATATAACTACTAGTTTTAGTTGTTATTTTTTATTTTTCTTTAATTGCAACTAAATGCAGTTAAAGAAAAATAAAAAATAACAACTAAGTAAAAATAAGATAACTGCAAAGAAATATTAAAAGTAAAGTACTGAAAGCAAAAGATTTACAAACCTAACTTTATAGTGATATCTGAGTTTTATGGCATTTTCAATAGCGTCAAAACTTGTGCTGGAAGATCTACACAAAAGTGATTACAATGTAGTTACTCATGTTAGAATACTGAACATTTAACAGTCCATCAACTAGGTCTTCTCTAAGTGTCAGCAAAATATCTTTATAATTTTTATAATTACTGCTTTTATTATCGGTGGCAAGTTCTTAAATCCTTTCTGCTGCATTTATGGATTTCAGTCTTATTAACTCAGTTTTCAGTCCTATTTATAGGATTTGAGCCCTATTATTATGGATTTCAGCCCTATTAATTTCTTCTATTAAGTCCTATCAACTGTTTATTTAAGCAACCAGAAGTTTTAACTTCTACATTTACAACATAGTTACAAATGGTATTTATTAACTATGCTAATTTAAAAGTCTTTCAACAAGCATCCCAGTGGGAATTCCCAGCTGAATCATTTGTGGTTTCCTTCTACTTTTGGAACCTCTTAAATGATTTATGTTTAAAAATTTTACTGATTTAATAATTGTTATGAATTCTTTGTAAATATTTTGTTCAAATAAACATTCAAATAAACTGATTGCCATAAGCTTGTTAACTCTGAAAATGTAAAAAGGAGAGATTCGTTCCAATTATACAAACTTATGCATGACATTGACAAAATAAATATTGGAAAACGTTTTCCACTTATTAAAACTAATTAAGAGGGGATTGTTTAAGGACTTTTAGAGCTGCAATTATGTTAAAGTTGACCCAAGAAGACCTAACGGTTTTGTCACAGAGCACCATGGAAGTGTATTTAAATAGGAAGTTCACGCCTCCTTCCTTACAGCGACGCGAAAATATGTCCAGAGTTCGTTTTGAACCTGTATCTCCTTGCTTCTCAGCAAGCGCTCTTACCACTGTGCCACGGCCGTCTACACTATCTTGTTCAGACACAACTTCATCATCTACCACAGTTGCTGAAGCACTTACTCTAACTACACAGTGATTAAGCAGCCGTGGCGCAGTGGTAGCACACTTACCCCAGAAACGTAAGATCCGTGGTTCAAACCCCACCTCTGGGCAAGTTTTGCGACAACGGTTGGGAAAGAGGCGTGAACTTCCCATTAAATGCTCTTCCGCGGTGCTCTGTGATAAGACCGTAAGGACTTTTTGGGGCACCTAAAATCAACATAAAAAAAAAATTACCATCTTTATAAACTACGCTAACTTCAAGTTTTGACAGGTATCAAACATGTGCTGAACGTTTCAAAAGCAGTATTAAGAGAAAAACAATTGCATGTTAAGAAATCAAAGCAGTGCAACATGTCAAAACTTGGTGGAAAATGAAGAAAACATGATTGAGTTTCTCAAACAAAAAGATGAAGAAAAAGTAACAAAGGAAGCCGTGAAAGTTGCTAAACTTAACGCAAAGCGTAGACTTTCTATGTCAGGTACTCAAATGCCTGAGCATAACAATGCTGAGTAACCAAAACAACAATGAAGAAAAAGTACCAGCAGCCAAACGATTAAAGTTGCTAAATGTAAAAAATGTAGAGTACAATTACACACAGAAATATTACAATGTGAAAATTCGGTGTGTCGGGAATGGTTGTGCAAAGAAATGTGTTTACCAAAGAAATATGTATTTTGTACTGAATTTTTTTGTTCTAAAAAAAGTAAATATTTAAATATAGTTCCTTAAAAATAAGTTGTGTTAAAATTAATAATAAATAAAAGAGTTCAACGTTCAAAAAAATTCAACGTTTTCTCAAGTGTGCGGTTTTATCAGAATGTCGCACATTGGGCCGGATATTAGACATATGGGGGACAAAATTATTTAGATTTTTTTTTACTAAATCCCTTTTATGTCCAAAAAATCACTTTGTATTAAGATATATTTACTTTTATTATAATTTATAGTTAAATAGTTGCTAATTCTAAAAATTATTAAACAAACTTTATAAGACTTTAAAAACGCGCATTTGCAATTTTTTAATTTCAAGTCCTATAATTTCTTAAAATCGTGAAACTGAATAACAAACTCTTCTGGTGGCATAAACTTTAAAAAAAATTGATGTAACAAACTTTAAAAATAAAAATGCGCACTTCAGAAAAAATATATAGAAAATATAAATGAGTATATAGATTTGAAACTCTATTATTGATATTATTAAATGCCCACGACGTTTTGAATAAGTCTATAGATTATTTATCATCTTTATATATAATAACGTATTTTTTTATTTTTAATCTATTGCCTGCACATTCTGGATAAATACACATTTTTATTATTATAAAGTCTACTGCCCAGTCAGAAAATTGATATCATGATGATATCAAACTATGATATTAATGATATCATAATATGAGACGTTTATGATATCAATATGATAGACGTTTATGATATCAAAATGAAATCACTCATTGATATCATTTTGAACTCAAACCCTGATATCATAATATGAGAGGTTTATAATATCAATATGATATCATAATGAAACCACGCATTGAACTCATTCTGAATTCAAAACTTGATATCATAATATGAGAAGTTTACGCAAAACTTGTAATATATATTTCCCCTATAATTATTTAATTTAATTACATTTTAATAAAAAAATATTTTCTTATTATTTTAATTAATTATGTTTTTATAAATAATATTTTATAACTAATTTAAATAATTTTCTATTTTTTTAGTAATGTTAAATTATATAATTAAATCGTATAAATAAACATTTTTGGTGAAATTGATAGATGTCATATTATATATATTTAAATATAAAATATAAATTTAATATTCTATTACATAACGCTTAGAAAAAGTCAATATAACTATTAAGAGTTTTATTTGAAATAAATAATAGATAGCAAATATTGCGGTAAAGCCCTTACAAAAAGAAATGCAGAAAATGTCACAAATTTGTAGAATTGGTCTTTGAGAGATATATATTCAGAGAGATAGAGATATGTGCTCGGCTATAGCATCGCTTTAACTATAAAATTGGTTTTCGACAGATATACAGGCTTGATCTAAATGTCACTTTTTGAATGTTGCATTCTACTTCTTTTCCAAATAAAATTTAGATTTATTTATCGTCTGGAAACAATGGTGCGAGCTGAAAATAATAAACAAAAATATTAGCCACCAAAAAAAATGTAAACTATTGCCTAAATATTAACAAAATAAAAATGTTTTTTACCTTTTCCTTATAATAAGTTACATAACTTTTTAGTTAAATATTGCTATCACACAAGCTTCATTGCTTTGCAATTCAAATTGCAATTATAAACCTAGAAAATCACAAGAAAGAAAAAAAAGTGTTTATATTATTTTTTTTAATTTATACAGCCAGATAAAAATATATAGAATGCTAAAGAAAATTCAAATGTAGGGGAAGTGGGGGAATAACCGCATATGTTTTTTAACCGTTTTTTAACATTTCTCTTCAAAAAATGTTATCTTATATGGCAAAAAACATTCCACGCGTTAGTAAAACAGTTTCCTTCATTTTGCATATGTCAAAAAGAGTGACTTTTAAGTTTCTGAAAAGTTGTGAATAATAATGTTTATTTTGATAAAAATATTATATTTACATCATATTTTTCCTGACCTTCTTTTTGAGAATTAAGCAATATTTGATTTTAGTGTTAAATATATGTGTAATCAACATTATTTCATGAAGTGAAAGCTATTTTTGATAATATCATAATCTAATAATTAAGCTATGAAACTGAATTCTTTCTAAAAACTCTCTTCAGGGGCAGAACTCTCTTCTGGGGCAGAACTCAAAATGTAAATACAAAGAATGTCTGCACAGTATGCAAACATGCAACAAAATTATCAAATAATCTGAACTGTGAAAATTGTAAAAAAAATGTACCATGAAAGGTGTAGCCCCATCGATTTTTGTGAGGGTGCGGTTGTGCCTCACAATGGGGGCGAAACCGTTTTTTTCACTAAGTGTAATTTTTGTGTAATAACATTTTCAAAACCCGTTCAATTTTTTTCTTAAATGCATCAATTTAAAGCTTAATGATGTGGTTATTGAAACTGTTAAAAAAACACATTTCGTTTTTATTTTCAAATAACATTAATCCAAACGTTACGGGGGCGGTTATGCCCCCACTTCCCCTATATTATTATTTTTTTTAAATTGTCCATAAATATTTAATCTCTAACAGTTAAAATGTTAAGACTCCCCAAAAAGAACTATATTATCAATCAAAAAGGGCCATATTATTAACTTCAAATGTACACACACACACAAACACAACAGATGATGAGGGCTCTGAATGGGTTAACTGTATTCTTATGTCATTAGATACTATTTTATTAGAAGATGTATTCAACATTTAACTTAACAAAAATTAAAATCAACACTTAAACACTAAAACAACATTTAATAATAATTAAACAAACTCTTGAGACAACAGCTTTTATTATTTTTTGCATTAAATTTTTTTTACAATTTGTTGCTCTTGATAATTAAGATAATCTTAATAATAAATAATCTTGATAATAAATAAGTCACCCAGTATTCTGAGCTACTAGTTGAGAAGGATATTGTATCATTCTTTTTATAGCTGATATCATAAGCTAAATGATTTGAAACAATGAAAGTTATAAATTAACAGATGATCAGAGTAGAACACCCTGGAATTGCTCTCAAAGCAACAAAGAAGTTGCGTTCATGAACATAACCTTATTGAGTCAATTAATTTGTTCTTTACAGTATATAAATAGCTATACTCAAACTAACAATTAAAAAAAGGATGTATTTTTCTTTGCTTAGTATATGATTCAAAACCACTTGCCCACAATATAAAAGAAAAGTTCTTAACTTAGAAACTTTTCACAACTTCATATACTTTAGACTTGGTTTTGGAATACGGTTTGCAATTAAATTCTGTATGAATGTATTCATTTAAGGAACATAAGTAAACAGTTAATAAATTAATTTGCCCAGATGACAATCAAAGAAGAAGCAGCCCTTTTTCCTAATAAAATGTAAACTTTTAGTACAAGCAAGCTCCACGCCTTGAATTGCATTGAGAGGGAACTGCTGCTCCATATCTACTTTAAGTAACTCCAAGACGTTAGAAAAATCATCATCCTTATGACGATTTTTCTGATTTTTTTCTCCAAATGTTTTAGCAGTGAGTACCAGTGGGCATAAAAACTCATTCAAACATCATAGGTTTTTTCCACCTTACAATCACATCCATAATGACCATTATAACAATTAAATTAGAGGTTTAGCTGGTGCATCACAAATTAAAATATTTTACCTTTTACTTGTATGACTTTTCCATTATTATTAAGAATGTCACTTACCATGAGGGGTCTTCCATGAAGTATGTATGCAGGTATGGGGGAAGGGGGTTACCCAAAAACTTATGAATGCGTACAAGAGAGATAGAAGGGGGGAGGGTAAAGACAGCAAGTATGTACACTGTATGACTAATTCTCATTTTTTATTTGAAAAAATCTTTTTGAAAACTTGATTTTTTTATCAACAAAAGCATTGAGTTTCATGAGTTTAAAAAATTATAATTCTGTTATGTAACAAAATTAATAATTCTGTTATGAGTGATTTCAAAATAACTAAAAAATATTTGTTTGTAATGCTTTGAAAAAATGATGTGTTGGTAAAAGAGTTGGGGGCAAGGGTTTGATTTTGTAATATAACATATGCATGCAGTGGGAGAAAGGAGGCATAAAAAACATATAGGTGTGTATAATGGGAAGAGGTTCCTTAATCAGTGGTTTTACTGCATACATACTTTATGGATGTCCCCTAAGATTTCTTAACTCCCAGTGAAGTCTTTTAAGTGTTCTAAACTAGCTGACTTCTGTAATCGACAAAACAACACCACAACAAATGGAATGGTTTCACAAATATTGTCAACATGACACTAGATTGGCCAGAGAAACATATTTGCACTTTTATGGATTGGCAGTCTGTCAATAGTTAAAGATTAATTTCATGAAGTCTATATTATTGCTTAGATCTCAAAATACCATCTTTAATCTCAAAATGTTGTCTTTTATCCTAAAACATGTATACTAACCAACTAAACTAAATAATAAAGAAGTAATATGATGCAACTAAATGCAGTTAAAGAAAAATAATAAATAACAACAAGTAAAAATAAGATAACTGCAATGAAATATCAAAAGTAAAGTATTTATTTCAAAAAATTAAATTTTTAAATAAATCTAGCAAATATTTCGGAAAATTTACAAACCTAACATTATAAGAGCATCTGAGTTTAAAGGCATTTTTATTGGAAGATCAGGCACGGATGCAGCATTTTTTGATGTTCGAGATACCTAACTTCTAGACAAGGAGCAAACTCCATAAATTTATATGTTTATACATATATCAAATAAGGATGCTTTGCAAAAAATTAAAATGATTGGAGCCTGGGAACGAAAAAGCTAAAATTTTAGCTTTACCTGCCCCAAATGTGGGAGCAACAAGTTGATAAAATATTTTTTCTACTTTTCTCAACCAACTTTATATTCATCGATAAATTTCAAAACTCACACAATAATCTCTCAGCGTTCAACAATTATGGCCTTATAAAATTTGCAACCCCCTCAAATTGAGGGGGATTCAAACTATTTATGGTCATAGTGTTTGAACGATAAGAAATTATTGTGTGAATTTTAAAATTTATCGATGAGTATAGATTTAGTTAAGAATAGTATGAAAATTGTTTTATCAATTTGTTACTGTATTTATGGATTTGAGTCCTATTATTATGGATTTGAGTCCTATCAAGTCCTTTAATTAAGTTCTATTAACTGTTTATTTAAACAACCAGAATATTTAACTTCTACATTTACAACATAATGACAATGAGTATTTACTAACTGTGCTAATTTAAAAATCTTTTCTTCAACGCTTATAGGGGAGGTCGGGGGATAAATGGCCTCTGCGGTAATTATGGACATATGATATTTCTATATTTGTGTAATTTATGTGAGATTTTTTATCTATACTGGTACCTATGTTCTACTAGAAGAACTAATAATTGGTCCTAGTTCTTTGTTCTTTCTACATAAGTGGCCCTAGTTGTCTTATAATGTTAACTGTCATTTACGTATTAGTAAGAAAAAGAATTATTGTGCTATTAAATTTATAAATGTTAAAGACGTTGACTAAATAACACTAATAATAAGAAATATAATTATTCTAGTTTTTAAATATATAATGTAAAGTATCTTCTTATTTGCAAATATGTTTTTATTTTTGTTAATAAAAATTGATTCATTTTGGGGTTATGATTTTATGCGGGGCATTCATAGCCGTATAAAATGGCTAGAAAATAGAAAAGTCTTCAGATATTTGTTTGAGATCTCCTCCATAAAAACCATATTTTTACTTGTGACTATTGTATTTAGTAGTAATATTGTAGGGGAAAGTGGGATACAAATTTTTTTTTCAGAGTAATTGCAATATCTTTTTTAATTGATGTATGAACTAAACCAAACTAGTCTTAAAAAATAAAGCAGTATTTGGGGCACCGAATCCACTCTCTATGGTTGACAGAATGTTTTAATAAAGTATATATTTTTTGGGTTTAGAGGAACCCTGCTATTGGGGTAAAGTGGAACAAGTGTGGGAGAAGTGGGACAAGTGTGCGGGAGAAGCGGGACATTTGGGGGAGATGTGGAACTATATAAAAACGACTTCAAATCTAATTAAATGTTAATTTGAGCAAATTTTGATTTTAAAATTAAGTTTAGTTTAAATTAAACGCGACAGTGGTGTAGTGGTAGAGCGCTTGGTTTTGAAGTTTGGAGTTGGAATCCCACCACGTCCCATAAGGTACCACGCTCAACTTTCTCCGCACAGCGTGCTTTGTTCGCAAAGTTTCGTGTTTCCGAGTTAAAGAGTTTAAGAGAGGATTGTAACCACAATAAGAAAAATATTTTAAAATGCAAAAAAAATGCGCAGCCTCCTCGCCTGAGGTGGCCCCCTTGGAGAGGTAACTAATAGGGAAAAAAATCAAATTATCAATGCCTTTTTCCATCAAATTAAAATTACATTTAAAGAATTAAAATTTCTATGTTAAAAAAAGAAAAAAGTTATTTTACATTTAAGATGCCAAAGTTCACTTGGAAAACGATTTCAGCTTTTGTTCTTGATGTTGTTCCAGCAAGCGGTTGAGGCAGGACTGCTTTTATATCATTAATATTCACACTACGAATGTCATTAATTCTAGGTTTGACAAATTTAGAAGTTTTTTTATTCTGGCATTTCAGGAAGCTGACCTCTAAATTAAAATGTGTGTCTATTTTTTTCTGCACTATGCCTACATAATAAGAAATAGTGTTATTACTACAAATTTCGCAAAGAACATAATCACTGACACTCACATTTTGAATAGTGCTTAAAGAAACAGCTTCCGATTCTTCTTCAAAGTAACAATTAGCAGAAACATCATTTGTTATTTTGTTGAAATCTACATCAAGGTCACTGTTCGATTTGCATAATATGTTTTTCCTCACATTTTTGGATTTTAGAAAGACAATTTTTTTGCCTTTTTTTTTATTTAATGCTTTATCTTTTATTCTTAAATTCTCTGGTATTGATCATACACTTTCCCTTTTTATGTCTACGTCTTAAAATCTTACGAGAAGGTGCCTGCAAAATATATATTATAGTATTATATAACTATAGAATTTAAAGAAAACCTAAACTAAGAATATTTAGTTTAAATTACCTTTGGATAACCTCGTACAATCTCAGGAGAAAATACAGTTAAGTTTTCTTTTACTGCTTCATGTTGCGCATCCAAACCTGAGATATCTGAAGGAGTAGCAGTTGCAATCGATTTCTCGCATGAGCCTTCACTGTATGATTCTTGAGGCACATCTCTACCTGTTACAACTGATGGTAAAAAAAATATCATCCCCATATACATGTCTATCATAAGGCCAAACTCCGGTCACGCGAAATCCTGACATAATATTTGTTGGTGTGGAAGATTTTTCCCATGCTTGTCGAATGAGACTGGCCATCTCATAAATTTTAATGGCTTTTCCTGGATTGCTAAGTATCCAGCTATTGGCAGCTGCATTAAAATATGTTTTCATTGGGCCAAAAACAGACCTATCTAAAGGTTGTGTCTTATGTGAAGTATGTGGTGGCAAAGTCATCATACAAACATGGTTCTCTTTTGCATAATCAGGTGACTGTAGTGAAAGGTGGCTTTCATGATTATCCATAATCAATAAAACTTTGTGATCGGCTGTTGGACGAGCAAACTTAACAAAATGCTTTAAAACATCAATAAATATTTCAACATTCATCCATCCAGATTGATTGGCTAATCCAATAGAACCTTCTGGTGCTCCTCTCATTAGTGGGTTTCTAAATAATTTTCTTGGAAAAACAATAACAGGGGGTATTGCTACACCAGCTGCAGAGACAATGTTACACACTGTTACTAATTCACCTCTTTCTCTAGATGTTATTTGCCCAACTTGCTTTGTTCCCTTTGATGCAATGACACGAGGAGTTTTTTGTACAGTAGTAAAACCTGTCTCATCAAGATTAAAAATTTTAAACGATGTTGCTTTAGACTCTGATATACCTTCTTTTAATTTGTTAAAGAAAATATCAATAGTATACCGGTTAAATGCTGATGCTCTTGCCATTGAAGTTGCCTCTGGTTTTCTAACAGATAGTTTTGGGTTTCTTTTTAAAAATCATGTTAACCAATCTCGACCAGCCTTTTTTTGTTCTATCCAACGCATGGGACATTTTATTTTGTTTGCTTGAGCCATTTCAAAAGCTAGAGCTCTTACTTGAACTGGCGTAAGACCATATAACATATCAGAACATTTCTTTAGATAAGTGCTCAGTGTTTCTTCTTGTGCAACAGAAAAAATCATAGAATGTTGAAAATTTGGTTGAAGATTAGCAGCTGGGTATTGACACTTTTTTTTAATACACCTATGAAGTGCAGACTTAGAAATGCCAGCTGAACATGCTGCTTCTCTAAGGCTCATCCCATTTTCCACTTCAGCTACAGCAACCTTCAAAATGTTTTTTGAAACATGTGGAGTTTCACTTTTCCTTTTATAAACTCTAGGCATGACCTGAAATTGAAAAGAAATTAGGTTTGTTAAAAAAATATTTATATGTAATGGTATTAAGTTTACTGTTAATGCTATATCTTTTATCAGACTATTACGAAATTATAATTGTATTTAAGATTAAAAAAACTTTTATGCATGTCTTTTGCTTTCCAAATGCTTTTAAATTATTGATGTAAAAAGACCTCTGAATTTGCTCCAAACAATAATGATGAATCAAATCAAATTTATCTTTAATAAAGATCTCTCTTTACAAATTTTGTTTTAAATCAATTGTATAAGAACTAAAACTAAAACTAAATATTTCAATTAAACCTATCAATATTTTTATTTTGAAAACTATAAAAAATCGTAGCTAAAATGTTCTAGAATGAACAGCGAATTTTTTCTCACCTCTATGTAGGGGAAACGAATAAAACTAAAATTACAGCCACACAGTTAAAGCTAAAATATAAATTTAATTACTAAATGTTAGATGATAAGTGCATATAAAATAGAAAATAAGTGCAACAACAGTCGAAAATAAATAAATACATGAGTTACTAGGCTGTCAGCAAAAGTACTTTTTTGGGGTACTTTCAAAAAAAGGGGTTTTCACCACGCGCAGGGAGGGGAAATAATGTCTAATAAAAAGAGCACATGAAATCTATACGTTTACATTAAATAACAGTAATTAGGCGCTGCTGCGAAATAAAATTATAGGGGTGTCCTACTTCTCCCGCGTCCCACTTCTCCCCACTCTCTCCTACTATTTATTTTTATTAATTCTTAAACTCATAAACTTATTCTCTTAAACTCTTATAAAACTTATTTTAAATAATTATTATTCTTGTTTTCATTATTTGTATTCGACAAAAGAATTGGGGTAATGCTGACCAGGCTGCCACATTTGCCCCAAGGTTATATATAGGCACGTATGTAAAAATTTTAAACTATTTTTATTATTGATTATTATATATCGTTGAAAAGAAGCTAAAATCAGCATTACAATGGTTAAAACTTCATAACAAAATAACAATTCTACAAAAAGTTATGCTCATTTAAGTAACAAAAATTTGATTACAAGGATTGGTTAAAAAAACTGCAACCAGTTTTAAAATGTCAGTTTCGGCTAACGGTAGTTTTGTTATGGAAATTCGTTGGTAGAAGCGCAATATTTTGCTTTAAGCCCGTTCTCCATTCAGAACTTTTTGCGCTTTTGAGAAGCGTAAAAGTTCTTTAAGCATGCGCAAACAGTTTTTTTAAGCCCGTTGTCCAATCAGAACTTTTTGCGCATGCTCAAAGAACTTTTCCGCTCCTCCAAAGTGC